ACCCAGGCTGGAGTGCAATGGCGCGGTCTCAGCTCATCGCAACCTCTGCCTCCTGGGTTCAGGCAATTCTCCTGCCTCAGCCTCCTGAGTAGCTGGGACTACAGGTGTGCACCACCATGCCCAGCTAATTTTTTGTATTTTTAGTAGAGACGGGGGTTTCACCATGTTGACCAGGATGGTCTCGATCTCTTGACCTCGTGATCCACCCGCCTCGGCCTCCCAAAGTGCTGGGATTACAGGCTTGAGCCACCGCACCCGGCCATAAGTTGTTTTAAGTGGTAACAGTGATAGGCACGATGGGGTTCATTATATTATTCTATTTTTATTTAAAATGTCCTGTAAAATTGTCATAAAAGACTGCTTATGTCCATTTTACCTAACAGCCACTACTTTCTTTATTTCAAATACTGAGGCCATGTATCTGCTACCAAACTTCAACTCCAGTGGCAGGAATTGTAGAAGAAAATTTCAGGAGCGTCTACGTTTCCTGTGCCCGGGGGAAGCTAAGCCCTGTAGCCTGGTGGTGCAGCAGGCTTGCAACTTCAGCTTCTCGGACTGGTGAGGCTCACAGGTGACCACTCAGCCCCGTGTTCTCGTTCTGTGAATGACTAGGAGAGACCAGAGACCAGACTTCCCTCCTTCCGACGACTGACCTTTGCTGTGGATCAGCCGCCTCCTTGATTGCCCTGTGCATCTGTCCTGACTCAGACCACATGGCACAACCACGCCATGACATACTCAGTGTGGAACTCCAAACATGCCTCTCCCAGGAGGAAAGGACCGCCTTGGCTAGTCAGCGCGTGGCGACTGTGCAGTCACCCTCGGAGAGAAAGATGCTGAAATTGAAATTTAAGCTTCCCTAAACCTCATCTACAGAAAGGATTCCAAACTGCTACATTTCCGAACAGACTTCCATGCTTCGGAATCTGCACTTCCTGGGTGGCCTGTCCTCAAATTTTGTACTTGAATACACTCTCTCTGGATTCTGACTCTTGATTATTTTAGGTTGACAATGTCTTCAGAGAAACATATTCCACACCAAATTACTTAATTTAAAAAGAAAAGAAAAAATATAAAAGGTGAAAAAAAAAAAAAGGGCAAGCACGGTGGCTCATGCCTGTATTCCTGGCACTTTGGGAAGCCAAGGTGGCTGAATCACTTGAGTTCAGGAGTTCGAGACCAACTTGGGCAACATAGTGAAACACTGTCTCTACTAAAAACACAAAAATTAGCTGGGCATGGTGGCGCGTGCCTGTGATCCCAGCTAATCTGTTAAAAACTGTCCAGGTGTGTTGGTGTGTGCTGGTCGTCCCATCTACTTAGGACGCTGAGGTGTAATGACTGCTTGAGGCTGCAGTGAGCCATGACTGCCCCCTGCACTCCAGCCTGGGAGACAGAAAGAAATCCTGTCTCAAAACAAAACCAGAGAGAAAAGAAAAGGAAAGAATGAAAAAAAGAAAGAGAAAAAGAAAAGGAGGGAGGGAGGGAGGGAGGAGGGAAGGAGGGAGGGAGGGAGGAGGGAAGAAGGGAGGGAGGGAGGGAGGAGGGAAGGAGGGAGGAGGGAGGGAGGGAGGGAGGAGGGAGGGAGGGAGGAGGGAAGGAGGGAGGGAGGGAGGGAGGGAGGGAGGAGGGAGGATGGAGGGAGGGAGGGAGGAGGGAGGGAGGGAGGGAGGGAGGGAGGGAGGGAAGGAGGGAGGGAGGAGGGCATCGCTTTGTCTAAATAATTGTAACTGCAAAAAGGTGAGTTTGGCCAGAGCATGGGGCAGCAGCAAAGGAAAGAAGAGATAAAGAGCTCTGATAGCAAACTAAGGATTGTGACTTGTATCTTCAGGCAACAGAAAATCAGCTGAGAGTGTTATTTTAGGAAGGTCCTAGCATCAGTGACTTCCATGTCTTTTTCTGTAGGATGTATGGCTTGGACTAGGTGAGTGCTTCTGAGCCTTTTTTGATAAATACCCTCCCCCTCCATTCTGATACTCACTCTAGGACATGGTGTGGGAATCACTGTAACTTCTGAACCTCCTTCGGCCAAGATTTCGTCCAGCATTAGATTCTATTTTTGCGTCGTTAAGCAAGGTTCTTTTGTTTTGCACCGCAAAATTTTACTATTCAGCATGCTTGTTCAAACACCTCTCCACTTTCCACACCCCACTTCTAGCCTCTTTAAGAAGCAGTGGATGACGAGTCCTCAAATTTAAAACTCCAGAGTTTCGAATCATTACCTCATTCCACTACATAGAAATTAAATATAATTTCTCTTCTTAGTTTAGATTCTCCTAAAAACGAAAGAGCAACAGGAAGAACAAGCAGAAATTTATTAGCACTTGCTGTACCCATCATGTGACAGGTCTCAGTTCAAAAGCACTTCTCTCTCAGGCATGTTGCGAACAGACTTAAACCACATCCACACACGTTTATGTCTTTCCACAAGGTCAGACTTTTATTGAAGCTATTTCTTTCTCTCTCTCTCTCTCTCTCTCTCTCTTTTTTTAAGAGATGAGTTTCACTCTTGTTGCCCAGGCTGGAGTGCAATGATGCCATCTTGGCTCACTGCAGACTCTGCCTCCTGGGTTCAAGAGATTCACCTGCCTCAGCCTCCCAAGTAGCTGGAATTACAAGCATGTGCCACTATACCACGCTAATTTTGTATTTTCAGTAGAGATGGAGTTTCTCCATGTTGGTCAGGCTGTCTCAAACTCCCGACCTCATCCTCCCTAAGTGCTGGGATTACAGGCATGAACCACCGCGCCTGGCTATTGATATTTCAATTACAAAAGCCACGAGCTATGTGGAGTTGCCTCGATGATGGGAAAAGCAGTGTATCCCGGCCTGATCTGGACAGAAGTCATCCTCTTCCGAGGAAGTCTTTGATGTGCGGATCCTTAGGCAGCAGATGCAGGGCGCTAAGTACAAGTGACAGCAAGATGGGACCCATCAAAATGCCCGTGCTGACTGGTCAAGTCCTGCCCTTTTCACGGCCACGGTCCTCTGGTGAGGAGTGATAGAGAGTGCCTGGCTATGTCTTTCTTTGATTGAATGCTGTTTCTATTAACGAGGCGAACATCTGCTCCCTGTTGGTATGATGCCTTTTGAAATGTAAGATTAAGTCTTTATTATTATTATTGAGACTGAGTCTCACTCTGTCACCAGGCTGGAGTGTAGTGGTGCAAACTCAGCTCACTGCAACCTCTGCCTGGGTTCAAGGGATTCTCCTGCTTCAGCCTCCCAAGTAGCTGGGACTACAGGTTTGTGCCATCACACCCTCCTAATTTTTGTATTTTTAATAGAGATGGGGTTTCACCCCAGTGGCCAGGCTGGTCTCAAATTCCTGACCTCAAGCAATCCACCCACCTCGCAGCCTCCCAAAGTGCTGGGATTATAGGCGTGAGCCACTACGGCCAAGATGAAGTCTTTTTCTAAGATGTAGTTACTTACGTGAAGGGTGCTTTATACAAGGCAGTAGTTAAGGTGCCTTGCTTCAACAGCATTTTAACATAAAGCCATAAATCCTAAATCCTATTGGTGACAAGCCAAAAAACACCATCTTCAGTCTTCTAAAACGCAGAAGTTGGGCACGGTGGTTCATGCCTGTAATCCCAGCACTTTGGGAGGCCCAGGCAGGTGACCTGCTTGAGGTCAGGAATTCGAGACATGCCTGATAATGGGGTGAAACACCGTCTCTACTACAAATACAAAAATTAGCATGCCGTGGTGGCTCATGCCTGTAATCCCAACACTCGGGAGCCTGAGGCAGGAGAATCGCTTGAACCTGGGAGGCGGAGGCCGCAGTGAGCCGAGATCACGCCACTGCCCTCCAGCCTGGGCAAGAAAGTGAGACTCTGTATTTAAACCAAAAAAAAAAAAAAAAAAACGCAGGAAAGTAGACTTATACAAGACGAAAGTCTGCACTTAATAAGATAAGGAAGTGTAGTAAAGGGGCCCATCTTCAGGGAATAAAGGCAGGCGGGGTGTGCCCCTGTGTTTTAAACTTTTTTCTTGCTCAACAATCCCCAGTATTTTAGGGAAGAATACTTTGGTTTCCTTCACAAGAGGAAAACGTTTCAGTATTGTGTTCCTTGTGGAAACCTTTAATAATATCGGGCGGGACTGAGCCTTGCGGCCGGGAGCGGGACCTCGCGCCTGTAATCCCAGCACTCTGGGAGGCCTAGGCGGACGGGTCACCGGAGGTCCGGAGTTCGAGACCAGCCTGGCCAACAGGGAGAAACCCCGTGTCTACTAAAACAAAACCAGCCGGACGCCGTGGCGCGCGCTGTAGTCCCAGCCACTCGGGAGGCTGAGGCAGGAGAATCGCGCGAACCCGGCAGGTGCAGGCTGCGGAGAGCCGAGATCGCGCCATGCCCTCCAGCCTGGGCACAAGGAGCCAAACTCCGCCTCAAAAAAAAAAAAAAAAAAAAAGGGTGCTCGGCAGGAAACTGCCATCAGCCTGCCGGCATCGCCGCCGCCGGCGCCCTCACCCGGGACAGCCCGGCGCCCTCGCCCCGCAGCCCGCGCTGCACGAGCGGACAGCCGCCCCGACCCGCCTGCACAGCCCGTCTTCCTTCCTGAAGCCACTCGGGAGTCGGGGCACAGCGGCGACCCCGGGGGGCCCTTCGCCCGCCCCGACCGCGCACCCGGCCGGCCACCCCTGCGGCCCTCGGGCCCGTGAGGACGCCCACGGCTGGGACGCGGCCGCCCGAGCCTCGCGGGGTGACGAGACGCCTGCGCGCCCGCGCTCCGCCCGCCCTTCCCCCCGCGCGGCTTCCCCTCTCCCCGCTTTCTCCGGCCGCCACGCTTCCTTCCTCCTCCCCGAGCTCCGCACGCTTCCCCTCTCGGGGCCGGGGTCGCCGCGAGGCCGCGGGGCAGGCCGGGTCACGTGGGTCCGGGGTCACGTGGGTCCTGGGTCACGTGCCCGCCTCCATCACGCGCGCGGCGGCGCGGGGCCGGGAGCCGCGGGGAGCGGAGCCGCCCCCGCCCGACGCGCGCGCTCTCGCGAGACCCGCGGGGTCACGTGACGTCGGGGCGCGGCGCAGCTCACGTGACGGGCGCTGCCGGCCGCGGGGTCTCCTTCGTGCCGGCGTCGCGGTGGCGCGGCCTCTCGCGTCCGGGAACGCCGCCGTCCCTCACGCCCGCCCTCGGCGCCCGCGCCCCGCCGCCCCCGCGGCCCAACCGCCTCCCGCGCCCCGGCCCCGGCCCCGGCCGCCCCGCGCCATGGCGGCCTCCGGCTGCGCCCGGCGGCCCCTGCTGCTGCTGCTCGGTGAGGGGGTCGTGGCGGGCCCTGGGGTGCGGGGCGGGGCGGAGACGCGGCCCCCGGGTCTGGGGGGCGGGGGGCTGCCGCTCGCCGTCCCGCGGGTCCCGCACGCTGCTCCCAGCCCCGGCCCCCTCGCCCGCGGGCGGCTCGTCCCCGGCGCCGTCGGGTCGCAAGCGCGGTGGCGGGTGCTCGGGGCACCCGGAGGTCCCGTCCCAGGCCCTGCTCCTGTCGGGGTTGAGCCCCCGAACTCGGCTTTCCTCGGTGTCGCGTCCGAAAGGGAACTTGGAGGGCTCGCTCGGCGTCCGGTGCCTTCGGGACGGCTGCGGTCCGGTCGTCTGGGTTCCCGGCGGGCGGAGGCGGGGAGGTCTAGACGAGGCCGCGCCGCCGAGGGTGGCGGGGGACCGCGGCTCGGGCCCTGCCCGGCTCGGATGGCACCCGGGACGCGGAGAGGCCCGCGCGGGCGTCCCCACCTTTGTACCTGGACCTGTCTCCCCTCGGCGGTGTGGCGCTGCGGGTGTGCGCGTGTCACTGTGAAGTCACCTTTGTGTCAAAATAACGTTTAAAGTTATCTTTGCGACTGTACGAAATTCCGTGGCAGGCCAGACGAGGGAAAGCTGGCGTCAGACTCGCGATGAACGCGTTCGTTTCTAGTGAGTAAGGAGCGCTGCCCTCTTCAGACGGGCAGTCGGTGCTCCGTGCCGAATCGACTGGTGAATTTCGTTCTCATTTATTCTCGGTAACAGCATGCGTGCCGTCTCTTTAAGACAGTCCCGAGGGCCTCCCCCTGCCCCGCCCCCAAACCTCCTTGTGATACGGGAAGATTATCTTAAGTGGCAGTATCTGAAAGGTGATGCAGAATTAAGCTGGGGCAGTGAATGCGAGTTAAGTAGATACAGAAATGCGCTCCCTACACACCTGCCTTCTTTAAATCCCTTATTCGTCCCATCCAACTCTAAAACTGTGTTATGTAAGTCAGTGTGTTTTGGTATCACGTTTTTGTTTCGCTCGTTGTGTGAAATGAATTCTTTGAACTGCGCGGATAGCCACAGAGGTGAACTTACTCCCATAGTAAGCCTGAAGCCTTGCTCAGGGCCTGTGACAGTCAGGTGTCGTTAATGAGAGGAGCTGCGGAAACAAGTTTTGTCATGTCACAACAACTGCATTGTTCTGTTACAGATGCTCACAAGCCTCATGACTTTGATGTTTTGTTTCATGTTTTAAAAACTCACTTTAAAAATGAAGAGAAAAATCCATGACTCCCTAATACTGTGATAGGAATATTGGAATATTGTTCGTGTAGTTAGCCTTCTAAGGTCTGTTCCATTATGTCTTTTAAGTTTTATATTTAAAATCCAACTTTGTTTGTTTGAGATGGAGTCTCGCTCTGGCCCCCAGGCTGGAGTGCAGTGGCCCGATCTTGGCACACTGCAACCTCTGCCTCCTGGGTTCCAGCGATTCTTCTGCCTCCTGAGAAACTGGGATTATAGCCTCGAGCCACCGCGCCTGGCCAATTTTTGTATTTTTAGTAGAGACGGGGTTTCACCATGTTAGGCTGGTCTCAAACACCTTGACCTTGTGATCTACCCACGTTGGCCTCCCAAAGTGCTGGGATTACAGGCGTGAGCCACTGCACCTGGCCCAATTTTTTTGTTGCTTCTTTAGTTGTTTTCACCTCTCCTCTGTGCTTTTTTTTTTTTCCCCCCTTTGGATCACTCTGTCACCGAGGCTGGAGTACAGTAGCTCAATCTGGGTTCTCTGCAACCTCTGCCTCCTGAGTTTAAGCAGTCCTCCTGCCTCAGCCTCCCTAGTAGCTGGGACTACAAGCGCATGCCGCGATGCCCAGCTAATTTTTGTATTTTTAGTAGAGGCAGGGTTTCACCATGCTGGCTAGGCTGGTCTGGAACTCCTGACCTCGTGCCTCCCAAAGTGCTGCGATTATAGGCATGAGCCACGGTGCCTGGCCAAAATCTAACTTTAAAAAAAACCCTTTTTAACAACTTTTATTTAAAGGTATTTAAAATGTTTATTTTAATGTGCAATTTCACCAAAAAGCATCTTTAAAAATACTTTTCAATTACTAATTTCCCCTACATTAATAATTAGGCATTGCTTAAAGCTACTGTGTTTGAATACTTAGAAAGCTAAGAAAAGCAGCCGGGCACAGTGGCTCACGCGTGTAATCCACGCACTTTGGAGGCCAAGGTGGGCGGATCACCTGAGGTCGGGAGTTCAAGACCAGCCTGACCAACATGGTGAAACCCCATCTTAAAAAAAAAAAAAAAATCTCAGAAAAACATAAACTGAAACTTTGTCTTGATAGATAGGATTAGCTGTGATTGCATAATGTGACCCTTTAAACCATTAATGTCAGCAGGATAACCTCCTTACCCTTTCCCCATGAACAGCTGTCACTTAGGAGGTTTGAAAAATTTCATACTCGGCTGGGCACAGTGGCTCACGCCTGTAATCCCAGCACTTTGGGAGGCCAAGGCGGGTGGCTCGCCTGAGGTCAGGAGTTTGAGACCAGCCTGGCCAATATGGTGAAACTCTGTCTCTACTAAAAAGTACAGAAATTAGCTAGGTGTGGTGGCAGGCACCGGTAATCCCAGCTACTCAGGAGGCTGATGCAGGAGAATTGCTTGAACCTGGGAGTCGGAGGTTGCAGTGAGCCAAGATCAGACCATTGCATTTCAGCCTGGGCAACAAGAGTGAAACTGTCTCAAAAAAAATTTTGTACTAACTAATGTTACCTTTGATTGTACAAATTGTCAGTTATGCAGTGGAGAGAATGAAGTTATGAGTAGATTGGAGATCAGAATGTCTTTGTAGCCCTGTAGTTTTGAGTTGCATTACGTTAGACCCATCCTGGACTGCGTTCCCCTCTCTCCTCTGTACCCCAGGACTTTTACCGTCTGTGCCTCTGCACCACAGCATCCATTCGGCTGCACTGGGATTAGTCTGTGTATCTCCCTTCCTTAGCTGACACGTGGTAAGTGATGAGCACGTGTATGAAGAGAGGATCAATTCTGTAACAATGTCTCTTAAACCCATGCACAACCTCCGCCTCCCAGGTTCGAGTGATTCTTCTGCCTCAGCCTCCTGAGTAGCTGGGACGACAGGCACGTACCACCATGCCCAGCTGATTTTTATATTTTTAGTAGAGATGGGGTTTCACCATATTGGCCAGGATGCAGGATGGTCTCACACAGATCAGCTTTTTAGAAATACACATACTGCAGCCAGGCACAATGGCTCATGCTTATAATCTCAGTGCTTTGGGAGGCTAAGGCATGAGGATTACTTGAGACCAATGTCTCTACAAAAAAATTATAAAGAAATATATACACTTATACCCTCTAGAGGTTGTGATTCAGTACCTGGGTTGGTATTTTTTTTTCTTTTAATTCTTCGTAAATGTTCATCACTGGTTAAGTAGAATAAAAATACCATTTTTAAAAGAATCAAGCCAAGATTAAGATGTGATTTTTAAATATGCATTAATTTTTTAAAATAAAGTGTGTGTGAGAGAGAGAGAGAGAGAAATGGAGTTTTGCTCTTGTTGCCCAGGCTGTAGTGCAATGGCACAATCTCGGCTCACTGCAGCCTCCACCTCCTGGGTTCATGCAGTTTTTCTGCCTTAGCAGCTGGGATTGCAGGCCTGTGCCACCACACCCAGCTAATTTTGTGTTTTTAGTAGACATGGGGTTTCTCTATGTTGATCAGGCTGGTCTCGAACTCCTCACCTCAGGTGATCCGCCCGCCTTGGCCTTCCAAACTGTTGGGATTACAGGTGTGACCCACCCTGCACAGCCAAAATAAAGTTTTTTACTCATTTCTTCGGATGGTACTCTTTAATGTCAAAAGCAAGTGTTTCTTAATTTTTATTTTTAGTTCCAAAAAATTTATTTTTTTTAAGAGACAGTGTCTTGCTGTGTTTACCAATCTGGTCTAGAACTCCTAGCCTCAAGAAGTCCTCCATTTCAGCCTCTCAAAGTGCTGAGATTACAGGCATGAGCCACTGCACCCAGCCAGTGTTTCCTGATTTCAAGCCTGTTCCTTCAGTCTTCGAGTGCTGGAGAGGCAGTGTGGTTCTGAAGTAGTAGGTGCTGTGGGTCAGAAGACCCCCTGCTAGATCGGGGTCTGCACCACTCACTAGCTGTGTGACCTGGGCGGGGTAGTTGACCTCTTTGCGCCTTAGTCTCCCTGTTGGAGTTGTCATGATAATTGGGATGTGCTTAGAGCAGCACCTGGCACAAAGTGAGTACATTCCAAGTGCTTGTGAAATAAGATCATTTTTTATATTTTGTGTCAATTACTGAGGATCGAATGATGATAGGAACTCTGTGTACCTGTGTGGATGTTTAATAATAGCAGGTATCAAAGCTGGTGTCAGTGCCAGGCACAAGGTGCTCAGGTGCTCCGACAGCCCCGAGGCATTGGCGCACCCTCCTCCTCGTGGGCACGTAGACTGGGGATTGGCTCTGCTACTGGCTATGGTCACACAGCTCCTAAGTGTTGAGGGAGCTGCCCAGAACTGAGGCCTCTGACTCAGAAGCACACATGCTTCCCACAGCGGCAACGGTTTCAGAGAGTAGAATTGCTCCAAGTGGGAGTATTTTGAAGGAAAAAGCCGCAGTTACTCCTTTCTGTGATCCCTGGAGAAGTGATCCTGTTTGTGTGTGAGTCCAGGACTGCTAGAGATAGCAGTCACCAGGAGGCTAGGGCGCCCAGCTTGACGGTGCTGCCAGGAGCCGCCCTGTTTGTTGGCTGTGCCCCCTGTTAGGTTACTGGAAACATTCACCTATTTGAGAAGGGTTTTTTTCATCTTTTTTTCTTAACCAATGCCACTGCTGTGGAATTTTTTTTAAAACTTTTGATCATTAGCATACATGCTGTGGAATTTTTTTTAAAACTTCTGATCATTAGCATACATACATTTCTCTTACTATTCTGTGTGCTAATGCTGTTATTTTCCTCTATACCAAAATTGTCTTCTGAGGGTAAGTTTATTTTAATGACTCAAAATTTCTGGGCCTCTCCAGAGTAACACAAGCATCTTGTGTTGCCGAAGTGTATTTTAAATTTGTTTTAATAATATTTATTTTCCTCTGAAAGCTGAGACCTGGCCAGGTATGGGGCTCATGCCTATAATCCCAGCACTTTGTAAGGCCAAGGCAGGTGGATCACTTGAGGCCAGGAGTTGGAGACCAGCCTGGCCATCATGGCAAAACCCCATCTCCCCTGTCTCTGCTAAACATACAAAAAGTAGCTGGACTTGGTGATACAGACTTGTAGTCCCAGCTACTCAGGAGGCTGAGGCGTGAGAATCGCCTGAACCTGGGAGATGGAGGGCCACTGCACTCCAGCCTGGGCAAGAGTGAGTCTCCAAAAATAAAAAAGCTGAAACGCTCAGTATATTTACTAAATGAAAAAAAAAATGTGTAGTTGAAAAGTGACTCAGTGTGAAATATTTCCTAATGAAGTGCTTTGGGTCAGTAAAAAGTGTTTGAGGAAACTTTTATTTTTGGGCAGCTTAATAAAAACTGGCTTGCGGGTGCTCCCCTGTGGCTGCCCATCCTGTCAGTGGTGGCTGTGAGCCATATGGCTTCTCAGCTGAGGGCAAGGGTGGGCAGTGGCCCCGTCCACGCTAAGTTCCAGTCAGTAGTAAGCCTTTCTCTGGTGTCTGCTGGGTCTGCCTGTCCACTGCTTCTGCCTTTCAGTCATCTGCCATCGCTTCTTTACACTCATTTGATCTCTCACAGGAGTGAGAATATTTTGTTTCTTTTTAGAAACCTTTGCTGTGTGGAAAAGGGATAGAATATTCTGGATTCTCTAGATTCATTGGAAGTGCTATTAGTATGATCTTGCCTGAGTGTTGACGGGTGTGGGTTGGAAAACCCAGCAAAGCGGACAGTAGGTGGCGGGTTTCCTCGCATGCACTGCTTTGCTTTATTGTCACGTACCACCTTTTCTTGTCCTTTTCTGAGACGGAGTTTCACTCTTGTCACTCAGGCTGGAGTGCAGTGGTGCAGTCTCAGCTCACTGCAGCCTCCACTTCCTGGGTTCAGTCGGTTCTCCTGCCTCAGCCTCCCGAGTAGCTGGGATTACAGGTGACTGCCACCACGCCCAGATAATTTTTATATTTTTAGTAGAGATAGGGCTTCACCATGTTGGGCAGCCTCCCAGGCCAAGGCAGGTGGATCACGAAGTCTTGAACTCCTGACTTTGTGATCCACCTGCCTTGGCTTCCCAAAGTGCTGGGATTACAGGCCTGAGCCACCATACCCAGCAGCACCTTTCCTTTATGGACATAGATTTTGGTATTTCCTTTACCAGAAGCTCAAGAGAAGATAGGTGGGACTTCTGGTCATATGCCTTGCTTTATGCTTGAAGAATAGTTGCTCTAAAGATTTTATTTTGTAAAAGACCCGAGGTTGAAATGAATTGATCTGTTGGAATCCATTACTTTTCCAGGGAATAGGGTTTTCAGTGAAAAGCTGAGCGCCCTCTCTTTCAGTACCGGTCCTCACAATGTTGCCTTAGAGCGACAAATGAGACCCAGGTATGGTGTCATTGGAAGGCTGTGCTGATGAAGTGAGAGATGCGCCCCCAGGTGGTGAGTGCTCACTGGACTGGCGTGCATGAGCTTGTAATGGCAGAGACAAGTGAAAGCATGTCATTTTTGCTTGGTTCACTGTGGTGGCTGGTAGGTGTTTGGCTTCAGAACAAGCAAAAACACCTATTTTTGCTACTCTGTAATGAAAGAACTGTGTAATGTGTGATTTGTACAATTACCAGTGTCTCTACTGTAGTGATCAGATTATATTTGTTGCCAAACATCTTGATCAGGGAAGTGGGGTATGAAAAAGCCAGAAAGGTAATATTTAGCAGTGACCACTGTTAAGCTAGAAAGACTTACAGAGGTTCAGTCCTGTCCCTTTAGTTCAGGATGGGGAAGGGAAGCCACTCCACCAGGTGTGCGGCACTGTGAGGACCTTTCTGAAATTGAACAGAGAGCTCTGCTCTTTTAAGTCCATGGCTTTTTTTTCTTTTTTCTTTTTTTTTTCCCCCCCGAGACGCAGTCTTGCTCTGTCCCCTAGGCTGGAGTGCAGTAGCATGACCTCAGCTTACTGCAACCTCCGCCTCCTGGGTTCAAGCGATTCTCCTGCCTCAGCCTCCTGAGTAGCTGGGACTACAGGTGCGTGCCACCATGCCCGGCTAATTTTTTGTATTAGAGACAGGGTTTCACCATATTGGTCAGGCTGGTCTTGAACTCCTGACCTCCTGATCTGCCGACCTTGGCCTCCCAAAGTGCTGGGGTTACAGGCATGAGCCACTGCGCCTGGCCTGAGTCCGTGGCTTTTCTTGCCATATCACAGTGTGTGAGAAAGAAAACTGACCAAATGTTAAGTAGCAGTTGAGGACCACAGGGAAAGCTACTACAGACTCCCATGGATTTCTGCAGAAGGGCGAGTTGTGCCTTTAAGGCCCACCACATCTTGCGGAGATCCTCTGAGAAATGTGCAGTAATGCATGCCTAGGATGACCCAGAAATTGACATGTGCCTTCCTGATAAGTGCTCTGAAATAAAGCTCTAAATAGCAGTAGACCAGGTTGGCAAACTTGTCAGATGGGTTTAGAGAAAAGAGTTCCAGAATAGTATACGCAAGGGACAGGGCACCAGGTGAACTGGCCGCAGAATCCACGTGTCTGGTTCTTCAGTGGATTTAAGAAACACAGGCTGGGCGTGGTGGCTCTCACCTGTAATCCCAGCACTTTGGGAGGCCAAGACAGGCGGATCACCTGAATTCGGGAGTTCAAGACCAGCCTGGCCAACATGGTAAAACACCGTCTCTATTAAAAATACAAAAATTAGCCAGGTTTGGTGGCACATGCTTGTAATCCCAGCTACTTGGGAGGCTGAGGCAGGAGAATCACTTGAATCCGGAAGGAGGAGGTTAGGAGGTTGCCGTGAGCCGATCATGACACTGCACTCCAGCCTCGGCAGCAGAGCGAGGCTCCGTCTCAAAAACAAAAAAACCCCACCGTAGAATCTTGTAATAAAGCCCATCGCTGCTGCAGCTGTGGAAAATGGAAGTACTCAGTTGTGTTTTCTGAAAAGTTTTTGATGGTCTCCGTCTTCCCGGAATTGACAGGCCTCCTGCATTGTGCGTCATCAGTAGTGTTTGTGGTGAAAAACAGCAACGACACCGCGTGCATAATGGCTAACTTCTCTGCTGCCTTCTCAGTGAACTACGACTCCAAGAGCGGCCCTAAGGTAGGAAGCACCAGGGTACCTCACGCTTCGCCTGTGTGTGTGGGACGATGGTTTTGGAAGTTTCTACCAAGTCTTTGAACAATGGCCCCACCTGAACCTGGTGCTTTCCCTTCTGCGCGTTTCCTCTGGCACAGTGTCCTGTGCTGTCACGTGCTGTGGCTGCTGTCATAGTCACAAGCCTTTCTTTGTGCTGTATCTCACTGTTATGAAGATTTTTCTAGTTTTCTTTTTTTTTTTTTTTTTTTTTTGAGATGGAGTCTCGCTCTGTTGCCCAGGCTGGAGCGCAGTGACGTCTGAGCTCACCACACCCTCTACCTCCTGGGTTCAAGCAATTCTCCTGCCTCAGCCTCCTGAGTAGCTGGGACTACAGGTGCCCACCACCATGCCTGGCCAGTTTTCGTGTTTTTAGTAGAGATGGGGTTTTGCCATGTTGGCCAGGCTGGTCTCAAACTCCTGATCTCAAGTGACCTGCCTGCCTCAGCCTCCCAAAGTGTTGTGATTACAGGCGTGAGCCACCACGCCCGGCTCTAGTTTTCTTCATGATTGTCTTTTATAATCATGATGTAATACTTTATTATGTTAGTTTACCATAATTTATTACACACTCTCCTATTGGTAGCTGGTAAATTGTTTTGAATTCTTTTTTTCTTTTTCTTTTCTTTTTTTTTTTTTTTTTTTGAGACAGAGTCTTGCTCTGTCGCCAGGCTGCAGTGCAGTGGCACAGTCTTGGCTCACTGCAGCCTCCGCCTCCTGGATTCAAGTGATTCTCCTGCCTCAGCCTCCCTAGTAGCTGGGACTACAGGCACATGCCACCACACCATAGAGACGGGGTTTCACCATGTTGGCCAGGGTGGTCTCTATCTTTTGACCTTGTGATCTGCCCACCTCCCAAAGTGCTAGGATTATAGGCATGAGCCACTGCACCTGGCCTTGAATTCTTTTTCATGCTCTGTGAATGTGGCTTTTTTGCTTTATTTTAGAGAAATTATTATACTCCAAGTAATGTATCTAAATGGTTATTTGACATGCCGTGCTACAAACACTGGACTAGTTTGATTAAAGTGTTCCTGAGTAGTTTTGTTGAAATGGCTTTGTGTTTCTATGGGATTACTGAAGCCGTTTGTAATTTAGATTTGTAGCAAATAAGTGGCATGCATTTATTGTGCTTGTTAATGATCTGTTGTAGACATTTCGCATACTCTTTCTGTGTAATGTTTGTTGTTTTGTGTTTGTTTCTTTGAGGCAGGTTCCCACTCTGTGGCCCAGGTTGGGGTGCAGTGGCGTGATCTCAGCTCACTGCAGTCTTGACCTCCCGGGCTTAAGTGACCCTCCCACCTCAGCTCCCCAGGTAGTTGGGACTTCAGGTGCATGCCACCATGCCTGGCTAATTTTTTATATTTTTTGTAGAAACAGAGTTTCTCCATGTTGCCTAGGCTGGTCTCAAGCTCATGAATTCAAGCAGCCCTCTCACCTCGGCCTCCCAAAGTGCAGGGATTACAGGTGTGAGCCACTGTGCCTGGCTATTTTACGTTGGTTCTTTTGAATATATCCCTGAACAAAATTTGATCTTCAGTGCTTTGTTGAAATGATCCTTTTTCCTTTCACACCTCCACGTCAACACTAATCTCTCTACTGCCACTCAGAGGGTCGTGGCAGGCCCAGGACTGCTGGGAGGTCTGAGTGCGTGCTGGGCTTTCTGCCAGCTGCTGGGCCCTTACTGATTCGTTCATGCTGGTCTCTAGCTAAATGTGGCCTCTGTCAAAACTGAAGAAAAAGGCTGGGCTCGGTGGCTCACGCCTGTAATCCCAGCACTTTGGGAGGCCAAGGCAAGTGGATCACCTGAGGTCAGGAGTTTGAGACTAGTCAGGCCAACATGGTGAAACCCTGTCTCTACTAAAAATACAAAAAAAAAAAAAAAAAAAAAAAAAAAATTAGCCAGACGTGGTGGCAGGGTGCTTGTAAACCTAGCTACTCAGGAGGCTGAAGTAGGAGAATCAGTTGAACCTGGGAGGCAGAGGTTGCAGTGAGCCAAGATCGTACCATCGCACTCCAGCCTGGGCAATAAGAGCGAAACTCCGTCTCAAAACAAACAAACAAAACACTGAAAACTGAGAAGGTTTTGTCCTATGAAAATGTCTCAGGGCTGGGCGTGATGGCTCATGCTTGTAATCCCAGCACTTTGGAATTTTTGAGAGGCTAAGAGGATCACTTGAGCCCAGGAGTTGCAGACCAGCCTGGACAATATATCAAGGTCATATCTCTCTTAAAAGGCCAGACATGGTGGCGTGTGCCTGTGGTCCCAGCTGCTTGGGAGGCTGAGGTAGGAGGATTCCTTGAGCTTGAGAGGTCAAGGCTGCAGTGAGCTATGATCTTGCCATTGCACTCCAGCCTGGGTGACAAGAGTTGAGACAGTCTTAAAAAAAAAAAAGTCTCAAATTATAAATACTTGTCAAAGCTTTTTTTCTTTTTTTCTGAGACAGAGTTGCACTCTGTCCACCAGGCATCTGGAGTACAGTGCCAAGATCTTGGCTCACTGTGTCCTCCGCCTCTCAGGTCTGAGCAAGTCTCCTGCCTCAGCCTCCTGAGTAGCTGGGATTACAGGCATGCACCACCTCACCTAGCTAATTTTTGTGTTTTTAGTAGAGACGGGGTTTCTCCATGTTGGTCAGGCTGGTCTCAAACTCTCGACCTCAGGTGATCTGCCCGCCTTGGCCTCCCAAGGTACTGAGATTACAGGTGTGCTCCGCCATACCTGGCCTCCTCCGTACCTGGCCTCCAAGCATTTTTTTATTTAATCACTTTTTAAATATTTGGTCTTGGTGGTTGGATTTTTAATATTTTTTTTATAAATTATGTTTCAAAATGAGGCCACCTATATGCTGATAAGCACTTTATTATCTCACAAAACGTCTATCACCTTGTGTAGTTTTTTTTGCCGTTTTTTGGACCACGTAGTATACTGCTTCACTGTCGTTCATTTGACCTGTCCAGTTTATTTTGATGAACGTAGGTGGTTTTCCAAACACTTCTGCAATAAACACCTTCTTTGTTTAAAGAAACATGATTTAAATGAACATTTCAATAGCAAAAAAAGTAGTGATAGCTTTTCTCAAATATTTATCTCACCCTGAAACTGGTATGAATTGTTTCAATTTCAAGACACTTTAAATGCTCTTAGAAATTATATTAATAGAAATTGAGTCTATGGAGTTGTTTTGTTTAGAGGCAGGGTCTTGCTGTGTTGCCCAGGCTGGAGTGCAGTGGAGCAGTCGTAGTTCACTGCAGCCTCAAACCTAGGCTCAAGCAATCCCCCTGCCTTAGCCTCCTGAGTAGCGGGGATTGCAGGCGGACACCACCATGTCTGATTGATTTGTTTTGTCTTTGTAGAGCTAGGGTATTGCCATGTTGCCCAGGCTGGTCTTGATCTCCTGGGCTCAAGCAATCCTCCCACCTCAGCCTCCCAGAGTGCTGGAATTACAGGTGTGAGCCACCACACCCAGCTACAAATTTTTGATTGCATGAATAATTAAGCCAACTTTCTCTTAGACTTGAAATACTTTTTAGTCTGTTTACTGACATGTAGTACTAACGTTTTTTGTTTTTTTTTTTGTTTATGTTAAAAATGAATATCTCAGTAGTGATATCTCAGGTAGAAATGGAGTATAAGTTTATATCAGACTTACAGAAAATCTTTCTTTGAACTTTTAATAACCAGAACCCAATTGGGTTGTATTTAATTGTGTTTGTTCTAGAATGTGACCTTTGACCTGCCATCAGATGCAGCAATGCTCAACAGCAGCTCCTGTGGAAAAGAGAACACTTCTGACCCCAGTCTCGTGATTGGTTTTGGAAAGGAACACATGCTAACCCTCAAGTTCACGAGAAATGCAACACGTTACAGTGTCCAGCTGATGAGTTTTGTTTATAACTTGTCAGACACACACCTTTTCCCCAATGCAAGCTCCAATGGTAAGGACCACAATGGGCTGATTGTGAATTGATAGAAAATTGGGTTGGAGGATTGTCTAAAGTTACGTTTAACTAAGTATTACAGGCTGGGTGTGGTAGCTCACGCTTGTAATCCTAGCCCTTTGGGAGGCTGAGGCAGACGGATCACTTGAATCCAGGAGTTTGAGACCAGCCTGGCCAACATTGCGAAACTCTGTCTCTACTAAAAATATAAAAATTAGCCAGGTGTGGTGGCAGGGGCGCCTGTAATCCCAGCTACTTGGGAGGCTGACGCAGGAGAATCGCTTGAACCCAGGAGGCGGAGATTGCAATGAGCCAAGCTCGTGCCACTGCACTCCAGCCTTGGTGACAGAGTGAGACTGTCTCTAAAAACAAAAAAATCACATGGCCGGGTGTAGTGGCTCATGCCTGTGATCCCAGCACTTTGGGAGGCAGGCAGATCACAAGGTCAGGAGTTTGAGACCAGCCTGACCAACATGGTGAAACCCCTTCTCTACTAAAAATACAAACATTAGCCGGGCATGATGGCATGCATCTGTAATCCCAGCTACTCAGGAGGCTGAGGCAGGAGAATCGCATGAACTCGGGACTTGGAGGTTGCAGTGAGCTGAGATTGTGCTACTAAACTCCAGCCTGGGTGATAGAGCAAGAATCCATCTTAAAAAATAATTATAAAATAAAAAATATAAAATACATAAAGTAAACTAAGTATTACAAATACTTTGTAATTGTAATTAGCCAGGTATTTATAATTGTGATTTTTTTTTTTTTTTAAATTAGAAACCAAGACTGTGGAATCTATAACGGACATCAGGGCAGATATAGATAAAAAATACAGATGTGTTAGTGGTACCCAGGTCCACATGAGCAACGTGACCGTCACGCTCCGAGATGCCACCATCCAGGCGTACCTTTCCAACAGCAGCTTCAGCAGGGGAGGTAGGACGCTGACCCTTGACCCTCTGGTGCTAACAATGGGGTGGTTGGGCTGCAGTGACTGTGGGTGACTCACTTCTCTGTGTCCTGGCACTGGGCTCTGTGCTTGGAAGGCGTGTGCACACAGCCAGGGACACATCTCTGCAGAACGTTCTCAGACTTCTTCCTAAATGAGGATGGACACATGTCAATTAAAAAGGGTAGAAGATTGAGGTGAAATGTGCCAGGACAGATAGAAGCTATTGTGTGGTCTCACTCCTGTGGGAGCTAAAGAAGTGGGGCTCAGGGAGGTAGAGAGAATGGTGGTCACCAAGGGTTAGGGGTGAAGTTGGTAAAAAAAAAAAAAAAAAAGATAGTTTCAGGAAGACCAGGTGCAGTGGCTCATGCCTGTAATCCCAGCACTTTGGGAGGCTGAGGTGGGTGGATCATGAGGTCAGGAGTTCAAGACCAGCCTGGCTAATATGGTGAAACCCTGTCTCTACCAAAAATACAAAAATTAGCAGGGCGAAGTGGCAGGCACCTGTAATCCCAGCTACTGAGAGGCTGAGGCAGGAGAATGGCTTGACCCGGAAGGCAGAGGTAGCAATAAGCCTAGATCACACCACTGCACTCTAGCCTGGGAGACGGCAAGAGTCTGTCTCAAAAAAAAAAAAAAAAAAAAAAAGTTTCAGGAAGACAGGAGGAATAAGTTGGAGAGATCTCTTGTATAGCATGTGACTGCAGGTAATAATATATTGTGGCTTGAATATTGCTAAGTAGATCTTAATTTTCTCACCATAAAAAGATAAGTATTTGATTAGCTGTCACACAGGTAGATGTATTTCAAAACATGACATACATGGTAAATACGTACAATTATGACTTGAAAATGTCAGAAGGGCAAAGCAGTTGAAACTTTTGTGCCTTCACTGGGCCAGAGATGATGGGATCAGGGTCTCACATCTCTCAGTTGGAGCCAGTTGCCTTTGCACAGAGACCTGGTCTTAATCTGCATCCAGCTCTGGCCGGCCAGCTTAGGGACAGGCGCAGAAAGACCAGCATTGGCTCTCTGAGGAGGTCAGGGCTGCAATGATGCACCTGCTAATCCAGCCGCCGGGCTCTGGGGTTAGGCAGGGTCCAGGCCACCTTGCTCCAAGATTTTGGGCAAAGACCTCTCAGTGTCTTTGCATGTGGGATGAGATTAAAAGCCTTTCTTAGAAGGTTGTTAAGAATTAAGAGAAGTGTATGCAGAGTGTGTATCTCAGCATCTGGCACAGTGTAAGTGGCAAACACCCGGTAAATCATGTTACTGTTGAGCTTCTCTCCGGAGCCTCGAAGTCCAGGCAGGTCATAGGTCATAGGTCATTGTCATTTTGCTGAAGCCTGAGGGCCTGTGCTTTGCCTTAGGGTGGCTCCTGGCTGGTAGAAGTATGTATGGAGACATGACAGCCTTCTCTAATCTTGAGAGCTGCTGTGGAGACCTTTGGTTTGCAGCATTCCTCAGCATTGTTGCTTAAGGCTGAGAAGTGACTGCTAGGCTCCGGGCAGGGGCTGGGGGGATCCTCACGTCGTACCCCTCCCGGAGGAGCCAGGACTCCCGCCAGTCGGCCCCTCACTGTGCTGGGTTGGTCCTGCCCACCTCCGGTTTCCATAGAGCCCATGGCTTTTATGTTTATAAACTTAACATACCAAAAATCAGAAAAAGAATATTTCAGGACACATGAAAATCATGTAAAATTCAGTGTCTATAAATTAAGTTTTCTTGGAACCCAGCCACAGTCATTTATTTACACAGTATCTGTGGCTGCTTGCGCATGAACAGTGGCAGGGCTGTGTTGTCTTCACAGAGCCACAGCCCACAAAGTCTGAAATCCTTCCTTTCTGTGACCGGAAGGCTCTCATTCATCTTGCCCTTGAGTACATCACGCCGTCTTATCTAAGCAAGCTTGGGGACCTCACAGATTTTATTTTTAAAGGAAATGAAGCGTAAGCCAACTTCGAATGGACTTTGCTTTTGGTTTTGCACCTTCTCTCCCGAGGATCTTAAAAGTAGGGCTGATGTGGCTGGGAGGTGGCTCATGCCTGTAATCCCAGCTTAGATGGAGGGAAGCGATGGTAAAACATCTTACCCTGTTGTGTAGGGAAAACTCTCTAATGGCCTCTTTCCTCTGCTTTCACTCTAGCAGCCACCATCAACACAGAAGGCCTCTGTGACCACATATGGCCAAGCTTTTTCCCCACACACCAAGCAGTGGACACCAGCTGGGTGTCCTCTGATTCAGTTCTGACCCCATCTGCCCGGAGAAAGGTCAGGTCCCACAGGGTGAGGGCTCCATCCCCAAGAGCGCCTCCCCCTAGTCCAGTCGGAAATCTGGGCCTCCGGAACTTCTGACCGCCCAGCTTCAAGTTGCGGCTCTCATGACACCCTCTTGGGTTTGATTAAGTTGCTGGAGTGGCTCACAGAACTCAGGGAAACATTTATGGGTTTGTTATAAATGATAGTGGAAAGGACACAGAGGAAGAGACACGGGGGCCAAGGTGTGGGGAGGGGCACGGACGCCAAGCTCCCATGCCCTCCCTTTCCAGGGCGCCACCCTCCAGGAGCCTCCCTGGGGTAAGCCGATTTTGATCTTCCCAAACCCAGTCCCCTTGGGCTTCGGTGGAAGCTTTATGACCTCAGCGTTTCTTCTAGCCAGTAGGGCAGGACCCTGTCTGGGCGGGTCTTAAGACCTACAGTCAGGCCTGGCCAGGTACTCAGACCTGTAATTCCAGCACTTTGGGAGGCTGAGGTGGGTGGATCACTTGAGCCTACAAGGTGGAGACCAACCTGACCAACATGGTGAAACCCCGTCTCTACTAAGAATGCAAAAATTAGCCAGGCGTGGTGGTGCATACCTGTAGCCCCAGCTACTCGGGAGGCTGAGGGAGGAGTATCACTTGAACCTGGGAGGTGGAGGTTGCAGTGAGCCGAGATGGCACCCCTGCACTCCAGCCTGGTGGCAAAGGGAGATTCCATCTCAAAAAAAAAAGAAAAAAAAGACCCATCGGAAAGGCGGGGAAGGTGAGAGTCCTGCCTTAGGACAGGTGAAAGGGGCTGCCCGGAGGCCTGACACACCCAGCATTATAACTGAAGACTAACGGAGGCTGTGATGAAAATCATCCTAATCTCACATACACCCTTGGGGCTCTGAATTGCAGCCTGCAGGTTGGTATGAGTGTCTGCTGCTGCCAGGAGATGAGGAGAGGCCTTCAGAGCACATGGGCTTTGGAAAGACAGCAGTCTGGGAGGACCCGGCTGCACGCTGCTCTCCGGAGGGGGCTGGGGGAGATGTGCCCGTGGCCCTCTGGTTCCCAGGGCTCCCCAGAGGCTCCTGCACCACCATCTCCCCGCGGGCAGTGCAGGGCACTCTGCAGCGTGTTCTGTGATGACCTCTCCCTCCGTGTCCTCGGTAGGAAGGACTTTGGTGTTTTGTATGCGATCAAGGAAGGAGAATGTGAGTTTGCATTTGTAATTCTGGCAGAAGGAAGAGGACATTTTCCACACTTACTTCTCAAGTTCTGACTTTTTAAACTGGTGGTTAGACATGAGGTTTTGTTCGTGTTTCTAGCCTAACTTCTTGTGACCACTTTAAAGAAACAAGGTGGTAAATGAATGTGGATCACAGGTGAAACATTGTCAAAGCAGAGTCGGTCACGCTTTTTTCCTGCGTTGCGTGGCCATCTAGACTGGAGTTTGGAGACTGGCCAGTTTTGATTGGTTTTTGCACATTTAACTTTTGCCTGTTTAGCCGTGTTCTGTAACATTTTATAAAGGAGCAGTCAAGCTGCTTTTTTTGTTTTGAGGCAGGGTCTTTGCTCTGTCTGCCAGGCTGTCGTGCAGTGGCACAGTCAAGCTCACTGCAGCCTCAGCTTCCCAGGCTCAAGTGACCCTCCTGAGTTAGCCTTCTGAATAGCTGGGACTACAGGCACATGCCACCATGCCTGGCTAATTTTTTATTTTTATTTTTATTTGAAACAGTTTCACTCTGTTGCCTAGGCTGGAGTGCAATGGTGCGATCTCGACTGACAGCAACCTCCACCCACCTACACCGGGTTCAAGTGATTCTCCTGCCTCAGCCTCCTGAGTAGCTGGGATTACAGGCACCTACCACTGTGCCTGGCTAATTTTTGTATTTTTAGTAGAGATGTGGTTTCACCATCTTGGCCAGGCTGGTCTTGAACTTCTGACCTCATGATCCACCTGCCTCCAACTCTCAAAGTGCTGAGATTACAGGCGTGAGCCACTGCGCCTGGCCCTGGCTAATTTAAAAACAAAAATGTTTGTGGAGATGGGGTCTGGTCTCGAACTCCTGGGCTCAAGCAATCCTTCATCCTTGGCCTCTGAAAGCACTGGGATTGTAGGCACGAGCCACTGCGCCTGGCAGCCGAGGCTGTTTTGGAAAGGAGTGGTCAACCTGCAGCTTAGCCCAGGGCAGTGAGCGAGGTCTGTGAGCATATCCTGGGTTGGGACGGCTCCCGGTGGCCGTGGCGCCTGTCACTTCAGAGCTTGGTGTGGTTACCGTAGCTCCTCTCTGCCGTCTTCTGCTCTGTCCAGAAAGGGCTTTTACACCGGGGTGCGGGGGGACTCCTGAGTTGTGTGTCTCAGAACCACTTGGGGTGCAGCTGTAGGCGAAGGTTCCTGGCTCTCTCCTCCCCCAAGGCAGAGGGGATGTGAAGGTGGGAATTGGCCGCTGAAAGTTGAGATGGAAGCAGAACCAACAAGTGGCCGATGGAGTTACAGGCAGCAGATTCCCCTCAGGGTTGCCCACCCTGGATATTTGGGGCTCACTTGTGCTGACTAAGCCTAGTGGAGATGTTGAAAAGATCAAATTGGGTAGAAATTATATAAATCCTATTTTTGAGTACCCACAGAAACAAGGTGGTAAAAGAAAGAACCTAATTTCAAGGTTGATGGTGTGTGGGTGTGAGAGTGTCAGCCACAGAAGAGTTGGCAAAGCTCTACCTGGAGTTCAGTCTGCCTTGACTTTCAATATAAATGTGTGTTGTGAACATCTTGGTGGGTCAGATGCTGAAGGACAGAGTCACATTCAGACTGCTTATTGTCCTCAGGGTGCCAGATGGCCACTCTCCACAGACTCCCTGGACTTCTCAGTGTCCTCGGGGTGCCACGTGGCCCCTCTCTGCAGACTCCCTGGACTGCTCAGTGTCCTCGGGGTGCCACGTGGCCCCTCTCCGCAGACTCCCTGGACCACTCAGTGTCCTTGGGGTGCCACGTGGCCCCTGTCTGCAGTCTCTCTGGACTTCTCAGTGTCCTCGGGGTGCCACGTGGCCCCTCTCCACAGACTCCCTCGACCGCTCAGTGTCCTCGGGGTGCCACGTGGTCCCTCTCCGCAGACTCTCTGGACCTCTCAGTGTCCTCGGGGTGCCATGTGGCCCCTGTCTGCAGTCTCTCTGGACTTCTCAGTGTCCTTGGGGGGCCACGTGGCCCCTCTCCACGGACTCCCTGGACTGCACCGTCTTGTCCAGGGTTTCAGATGTACCCACACTTGCTGCCTTCTCCCTAGTGAGGATGCTTGTTCATCCCCCCGACTGCTCCCTCCCCGAATGAAAACCCAAGACAGCTGGCTAGCCTTGCCCACGTTTGCGTCTCTGCTCACACGTGGGGTCCTGCCAGAGGGCCTCCTTGGCTGCTCTGTGTCCCACCTGGCTGGGCTGTGTGTGCTGTGGATCCTCTGTTTTCTTCTGGTTGGTGGTTCCAGCACAATCCTGGCACCCATTTGACAGCTCAGGGAGCAGTGACTGAGTTATCAGCATTTCCTGTGGAGTAGGGTGGCCAGTCACACAGCACAGCCTCCTACGTTCACTCCTTTGTGACAGCGTTCAAGGCCCTCTCACCCTCACTTTAGGAGGGTGGCACAGTGGACACTGTCCAGCCATGGGGCATTCTGGGTGGTGCGAGCTGGAGGCTGAGCATGCCCTGCGAGTCTCTGCCTGCCTCCCTGAGCCGTCTGCTGTCTGCAGGACTCAGCTCTGTCCTGCACGTCTAGAAAGGCATTAGTGAGAGCCACCTTGGGAGTTTCGTTTCTGAGTTTGGATCTTACTGCACCTGCTGCTAATGATGAGAAACCCAGACCTGGATTCCCTCCACTGTACCTGCAGAGACCCGCTGTGACCAAGACGGGCCTTCCCCGACCACAGCGCCGCCCGCACCACCCAGCCCCTCACCCTCACCCGTGCCCGAGAGCCCCTCTGTGGACAAGTACAGCGTGAACGGCACCAACGGGACCTGCCTGCTGGCCAGCATGGGGCTGCAGCTGAACCTCACCTACGAAAGGAAGGACAACACGGTAGGACCAGGGCCTCACCTGGGAGAGAGGGGACTTGGGAGGGGGACAGCGCTGTAGGGTGGGCCTCACCTGAAGGGGAACAGCAGGCCTCTGTAGGCCCGGGGCCTCTGCTCCCTGTGCCCTGAGAGTGCACATCTCTGCAAGTCACGCTTTAAGTTGGGTTGGGAGCTCAGCTTGCGGGACGGGACCCTGTAGGACAAGAGCTGCGGTGTCTGTGTCAGTGAGTCGTCTTGTTAACGCACAGCTTCCTGCTGGTTCTGTTGTCCACGGCTGCTGTCCCAGCAGGCCTGCGGAGCAGTGTGGCCCACGGAGCCTGAACCGTTCACGTGGCCCCTGATAGAACATAAGGTTTCTTTACATGTTTATCATTGAAACATTTCAGTGTTACATGTTTATACTTTTCTTTTGAAATAGTTTTTCTCCCCTAATAGTGACAGGCTGTGGGTTTGTGGGGGCGAGTTTGCAGGGTTGATAGCTGCAGGGTGAGGTGGTGCTGGTGGCAGGGACGCCGCACTCCAAGAGCAGCCGTCACAGTGGTGCGGAGTCGTCTTGGGGTCCCGAAATCTGCGCCAATGTGGATGAGCAGCGTTTCCTTCTGATTTTGTTCAAAACAAATGTGGCCTTGAATTCGTGGTTTCAGGACTGTTTTTCTTTTTTTGAGAGTGTGGAGGACCTGAGCTGGGGTGATGACTTGCTTGTTTGTCTTACACAGACGGTGACAAAGCTTCTCAACATCAACCCCAACAAGACCACGGCCAACGGGAGCTGCGGCGCCCACCTGGTGACCCTGGAGCTGCGCAGCGAGGGTGCCACAGTCCTGCTGTTCCAGTTCGGGATGGTGAGGCTGGGCGTCCCCTTGTGCCCTGGGTCTGCTCATGGGAAGCAGAGTTAGGAACGAGGCAGCCTCACTTTTTTCTGCCTCTTTAAAATCCTGGTTACTCAGCAGTGGATTTGGGCGGGGCTGCCGTGCCCACAGTGGGGTTGCTGCAGGGGTTAGGCTGCTGCTGTGAGGCCACGAGGCCTTCTGGCCTCAGACGCTGCTGCCCCGCGGCTACGGGGTGGCAATTCTGCCCGGAGCACTCCTGTGCCGTGAGCAGCACAGAAAGGAAGAATGTAAATGTCACTCGTCAATCTTTTTAAGTCGCTGTGCAGATGAATTAGCAGTTCAGTTTCTTATCATTTGAACTTTCCAAATCATGCTTTCCTGTGCCGTGAGAGCTCCTGCAGGCCCCACTTCCCAGAGACTGACTCCCTGAAGAGGTCTGGAAGGACCAGCCTGCAGCACAGGGAGGCTCTGTCTCCACAAGGGATCAGACGAGCTCGCCGGGCACAGCGCTGCATGCCTGTGGTCCAGCGACTCGGGAGGCCGCGGCAGGAGGATCGCTTGAGCCCAGGAGTTCAGGCTGCAGTGAGCCGTGACCACACCATTGCGCTCCAGCCTGGGCGACAGAGCAAGACTCTCAGAAAAGGGTCTGGAAGGAACTAACTAAAATTTTCATTCCCCAGAGATACACAGTGCCTTTTGTAGACAGGATGTTCTGTGGTTTTGTGCTAACACTAGAAACATGGGAAGTGAGGTTTTTTACCAAACGACCTTTCAGGTTTGATGATAAATGTTCGAATCTACTCAGTGGTTAAAGATCATCTTTCTTTTTAAGAATGCAAGTTCTAGCCGGTTTTTCCTACAAGGAATCCAGTTGAGTACAATTCTTCCTGACGCCAAAGGTGAGAACCCACAATCACTGGAGCCCCCGCCCCCCACCCAGAGTGTCCCGGAGTCACTTGACTTCTGTGTGTGTTGCAGACCCCACCTTTAAAGCTGCCAACAACTCCCTGAGAGCGCTGCAGGCCACAGTGGGCAATTCCTACAAATGCAACGCCGAGGAGCACGTCCAGGTCACGGAGGCGTTTTCCGTCAACATATTCAAAGTCTGGGTCCAGGCTTTCAAGGTGGAAGGTGGCCAGTTTGGCTCTGGTGAGTGTCGCCGAGGGCAGCTGTCTCAGGGTGTAGAGGACGCGCTTCAGACTCCACCTATGGATATTTAATCGCTTCTGTGTGGGCTGGCGCAACACCCCTGTTCCTCTGCAGGCCATTTCTTCTTCCCGGTCTGAGATTCTAGAGGAAACTCCCCCTGCTTTAGAGAGGCCCAGCGTATCTCTGAGCTAGGAACCCCTGGTATCATTTGAGAGTAAGGGTGTCATCTTAAGAACAGTGGTGGCGTTTCTCCCATGAAAGTTGAATACAAAACCGTCATCCGATGCACTGTGTTCCAGGAAGCCCAGAGGCCCTGGACGCGGCACAGCTGCCCAGCCACAGCCCCTGATTCCAGCCGGGGGAAAAACGTGTGTGGTTTCCCAGCTGTGCAGGGCGCCAGTCTCTGCAGCGGCTTCCCCAGGCGACAGCTGGACCTGGAGCCGTCTGCCAGGGTTCCTCTTGCCTTGTGGCTGATGTGGGGAGTGGTGGGGAGAGGCCTGTTTGCAGGCCCCGTGTGGGTGGAGCCCGACGCTGTCGTGTGTCTTGGCAGTGGAGGAGTGCCTGCTGGACGAGAACAACATGCTGATCCCCATCGCTGTGGGCGGCGCCTTGGCGGGGCTGGTCCTCATCGTCCTCATCGCCTACCTCGTTGGCAGGAAGAGGAGTCACGCCGGCTACCAGACCATCTAGCCCGGCGCAGGCACAGTGGCCACGGGCCTCGTCCTTGCCCTGGCTCAGGGTCCTGTCGAGGGAGGCACACCTTCTGGCACCGTTTCTCAAATCTGCTTCATTCAGTGTGGAGTTCATCTTGCAGCATTTACTATGCACAACAGAGTAACTATTGAAATGACGGTGTTAATTTTGCTAACTGGGTTAAATATTTTGCTAACTGGTTAAACATTAATATTTACCAAAGTAGAACTCTAAGGAAGGGTGGGAGCGCTGCTCTAAATTGGCACTGGCTCAGCTGTCATTTGACTTTAAGATTCTGGTGTTTGGTTTCTTCATTCTTTACTGCACTCAGATTTAAGCCTTACAAAGGGAAGGCCTCCGGCCGCCACTCATCATTAGGCTGACATGCTCACAGTTTCAACAGTAGAGAGGGAAAGTCCTGAGACAGAAGAACTCCAGAGGTGAGCGTCTCAAGAGCTCCAGTTCAGCTTTAAAGGCCAGGACGGGCCGGCCGCATGCGGCTGACGGCCCCGCCCGCGTCCCAGTGGCACTTGGCGGCACGTCCTTGGGCGTTTTCTGATGCTCTGCGGCTCAAGGGCTGGCACTTTTTTAAATATAAAAATGGGTGTTATTTTTATTTTTTTTGTAAAGTGATTTCGGTCTTCTGTTGACATTCAGGGTGATCCTGTTCTGCGCTGTGTACAATGTTAGATAGGTGCGCTCTCCTGGTGTGTCGCCGCGGCTTGGGGGTTGTACACAGGATCGGCTCACGTAACGCATTGCCTGTAACGATGTAATAAAAAGCCTCTTTCTTTTTTGTCTGGGCCTTGTCCTTTTGTCAGCTAAGATGGGACCTCGTGAGAGAGTGGCGGGGGTGAGGCCGGTCTTGACGCTGTGTTAGGGTGTTAGGGAAACGGGGGTGAGGCTGGTCTTGGCGCTGTGATAGGGTGTCAGGGAAACGGGGGTGAGGCCGGTCTTGGCGCTGTGATAGGGTGTCAGGGAAACGGGGGTGAGGCCGGTCTTGGCACAGCCTGGCGTTGGGAGAGCTGGTGTGGCCATTCTTACGGACGGTAGTTTGAGGTAGTTGGATGTCTCAGGATCTGGCTTTGCTTTTGACGACTTGGCCGTATTGCTGTGGTCTCTCCGGCAAACACCCATCCACGTCTTGAAGAATGCTGTCACAATAAAAGCAGGGGGAGGTGAGGAGCGGGGCGGGGATGAGTGAGCACAGCACCCTTCATGTCTGCCGAGGCGGGGCCCTTCGGAGCATCAGCGTGGGGCCCCAACATGGTCATCAGGGCTCCCCAGTTTAAGATGGAAAGTGGCTGTGTTCAGACCTGAGGCTCTGGAGATCAGACCACCTTTAAAAAGGCAGCCTCCCTCCCCCAGGCCACGTGGGGAGCCCTCTCCTGGGTCCTGGGGGAGAGGGTGGCTGTGCTAAGAGCCTTCAGAGCAGGAGCTCGAGCCGAACAACACCTCCCTATCAGGATCTGTAGACCTTGGTGAGGCTGAGGACAGACACCAGGAGCCCTAGAATTCAGGCTCCAACCTGCATCTCAGTACCACGTCCCAGAATCTGGCTCCAAGAACTCAGAGTGGGTAAGTCCCCAGGTGGCCGCACGCTGTGTGCTCTTCTAGCAGGCTTCGAAGAGCGGAGCCGTGCCGTGGGGCAGGAATGGCCAGGTGGGAGCAGGTGCCTACTATGGTGAAGGCCACAGCGGCAGGTCAGAGCACTCCTAGACTCATCCTGGGTCTGAACAGTGCAGGGAGTGTTGGGAAGCTCCTGGTTCCTGCTGCTGACCCAGCAGGCCCTGGTCAGCCCTTTGCAGATGTTTGAGGATTGTAGCATCATAAGAGAGGATGTGGGAAATGGCCTGTACTGAAGCAAGCAGTGTCTGCCTGGAGGGGGAAGGCAGGCTTTGGAGGGCCCAGACCCAGCCGGGAGATCCCCCTGTGAGAGCCGGGCCTGCATGGCAGCGGAGCCGGCAGCATGTCCCCTGCAGGCGGCAAGGCTCTGAGACCGGGCTGGTGATGCCAGTAGCCCTGCCTCAGAGGCACCAGCTGGCTCCACCTCCAGAGGAGTCACAGTCACTGCTGAGTTCTTTCCGGGCCAAACCCAACAAGTGGATGATATCAGAGGTGGGTGACATCGGAGACGGTGCCAAGCCTGTCCTGTCCAAGCCTGGACCACAGCGTGCATGGTCCCTGGCAGGGGACTCTGGGTGCTTGGCTGGGGCTGGAGTGTTGGGACTGCAGCCAGAGGCCGGGGCACAGGGCGCCATGTCTGCACTGTGTGATGCAGTGCCACCTCAGCAGCCTCATCTTTGGCTGCCCTGAGCGTTTGGCTGAGGAGGAGGAGGAGGAGGCGGAGGGCTGGCCCCAGGGCCCCAGAGCGGTGTGGTGACTGACGGCCAGGGTGGCCTCTGCCCTGATGGTAGCGAGTTGTGAACTGGGAGCTGCTTGGCCCCAGGGCAAGGGTACATCCTGGCTCATGCGCCTGCCACGTGCTCGCAGTAAGGAGGGGCCCAGGTGGCAGCGTGATCATCTGGGAGGTGAGCATCGTCCCTTGGGCATGGGGAGGCCACGTCCTCTCAGGACGGCTGCCATGGCTGTGCTGCCTCTAGCGAAGGCTGGCCTCCTCCTGGGAGGAACGGGGACAGGGTCTGCAAGGAGCGCCTGCTGTGGATGGACAGACCTGGAGATGCCAAGGGAGTTGACACGTCGCTGCTGAGGGCACTGGGCAGCCCGGGGCAGCAGCGGCAGGCAGCCTGTCCGCCCCCCACCCTCACGCTGTCTGTGCCTCCCTGCCGTCCCACCCAGAGCTCAGCGTGGCCTCAGAAATTCAGCCCCAGAGGCGGCCAGCAGGGTTGTCAGCATGGCCAGGAGGCAGCACAGCTTCTCAGGACAGGGCAGGGGAGGGAAGGGAGGCCCAGGGCCTGGAGCGGGGCCCCTTCCGGCCGGGGCCCAGTGTGCCAAAGCACTCGGGCCACTCCAACCCTGTTCCCTACGTCCGGCACACTTGTCTGCTTCATTCATGTCACATGGTAATTTTTAAATCATTTAAAAAAAATTCCCTTTCATACATAGATACCATGGAATACTCTGCAGCCATGAAAGGAGTGAGGTCACGTCCTCGGCAGGACATGGATGGAGCGGGAGGCCCTTACCCTCAGCGGACTAAGGCAGGAACAGAAAACCAAACGCCGCACGTTCCCATGTAAGTGGGAGCTGAATGATGAGAACATTCGGACACAAGGGAACAGCACACACTGGGGCTGTCGGGGAGGGGAGGGGAGGAAGAGCTGAGGGATGCTGGGCTTCATACCTGGGTGACGGCGACGTGTGCACCAGACCCCCACACCCCATGCCTGTACCCCACAACTTAGAGAAATCACCTGCCACACGCAGGAGCCTCACATAAAGTGAACACTGTTCCACAGAAAGGAACAGAATATTTACGCCGCCGCCGGGAAGGCCACAGTGATTGCTCACTACTCCAGTTTCCAGTGGGCCGAGAAACTGATCACAAGCTTACAGGTGTTGGCATACTTTATTAGATACGCACATTCACATTTTATAAATTATTGGTGTCTTCAGGTAAAAATAAGTTTTCTTTAGAAAAGTATGACCTCATAGCTATAATCAAAAGCTGGTAGAATGACTTTAAACTTCTCTTTAAAAAAATTCACAACTAAAGTGTAGTGACGTCGTCAAGTATTTACAACGACAAGAAGGAAAGCAGTGACGGTTGGTCCGGTGTCAACTCTGCAAAGGGGAATCGTCGTCAGCCTGGGGACACGGAACCCAGGGCCGGGCGCTCTCACCCCTGCGCCAGCAGGCGGGCCCTGCAGCTCTCACGGAGTTTGGCGACAGTGGCCATGGATAAGCTTCCGGGTTCTGAAAATATTTTCTGGAATGCAAACAGAATTAGTTTAAAAACAAACCCAACAACACATTTCTACCCCAGCTCTCCCAGACTTCGGCAGACGGACGGGTGGGGCCTCGTGTCAGGCAAGGGAGGAGCAGCCCACATCTGAGGGGTTCTGGGGTAACCCCCAGATTGTCACCATTGCACTCCTGCCCTGGGGCCTAGGACCGCAGCTCTGCTGCTCCAAAATGTTAAATGAATCAAACAGTTGAAGCATTTAACAGTTTTTTGTTTTGGGAGGTTTTTTTTGCAATGGAGTCTTGATTTGTTGCCCAGGCTGGAGTGCAGTGACACGATCTCAGCTCACTGCAACCTCTGTCTCCTGGGTTCAAGCAATTCTCCTACCTCAGCCTCCTGAGTAGCTGGGACTACAGGTGCACACCACCACACCCAACTAATTTTTGCATTTTTAGTAGAGACGTGATTTCACCATGTTGGCCAGGCCGGTCTCAAACTCCTGACCTCAGGTGATCCACCCGCCTGCAGAACCAGTTAAGGGGAAGGCTGCTCACTGTGGTGCGGGCTCGGGGTCGCCTCCCTCCACCCGAGCTGGGGCTGGACCTGCAGGACCGGGCTGCTGTCCTTGAGGCTGGGGGATCTGGAAACTCCCTTAACACGGGCAGCACTTGCTTGTGCTGAACAGTGTGCACCCCTGGATGCCACCACGTGGTGAGAAAGATGGCGCTCTCCCTGGGGAAGACCGTAGTGTGGGGCGGCAAGGGCACCAGCAGGGGCCAGGAAGGACACCTCAAGCGCTGGCAGGGTGCGGTCCCATAGCCACAAGCACGCGACGCTGTCTAGACAAAGTGCCCTCACCCAGAGGCTGCGGCAGAATCGAATTAGGCTTGGTGCCACCGTGGTTCTCCCGTTCAGGGCCAGAACCTTGGAAAGTAAGTGGCCTGAGGGGCAGAGGCAAAGCAAGGGCAGAGGGTGTCGGACCCACGTCTGCCACCCGGGCCCTCCTGGAAGTGCCCCCTGCCCGCCTGATTTAGGATCCTGTCAGGGCTACTGGGCACAGGCTGGAGAAAGCTGGGGAGCTTCAAGCCACGCCACCGCCCAGCACATGTGCTGACCCGGTGGGGGCAGATGAGGGCTGAGCAGGAGCCAGGCCAGGTGGCGGAGTCCCCCGTGGGCTCCTGATACCCGCTATGCTTACGGAAAGCTAATTTGTGTTGGTTCTGTAACTTCTCATCTAACTCAAATGAATCCCCAAGATCACACTACACCATCGCACACCAGCCTTCACTCACGAGCGCAGGGTGACGCTACGCCATCGGGCACCAGCCTTCACTCACGAGCGCAGGGTGACGCTATGCCATCGGGCACCAGCCTTCACTCAGGAGTGCGGGGTGACGCTACGCCATCGCACACCAGCCTTCACGCACGAGCGCAGGGTGACACTACACCATCAGGCACCAGCCTTCACGCACGAGCGCAGGGTGACGCTACACCATCGGGCACCAGCCTTCACTCACGAGCGCAGGGTGACGCTACACCATCAGGCACCAGCCTTCACTCATGAGTGCAGGGTCACACTACGCCATCAGGCACCAGCCTTCACGCACGAGCGCAGGGTGATGCTACGCCATCGCACACCGGCCTTCACTCACGAGCGCGGGGTGACGCTACGCCATCGGACACCAGCCTTCACTCACGAGTGCAGGGTGACGCTACGCCATCGGACACCAGCCTTCACGCACGAGCGCAGGGTGACGCTACGCCATCGGACACCAGCCTTCACTCACGAGCGCAGGGTGACGCTACACCATCAGGCACCAGCCTTCACTCACGAGTGCAGGGTCACACTACGCCATCAGGCACCAGCCTTCACGCACGAGCGCAGGGTGACGCTACGCCATCGCACACCAGCCTTCACTGCACGAGCGCAGGGTGACGCTACGCCATCGGACACCAGCCTTCACTCACGAGCGCAGGGTGACGCTACACCATCAGGCACCAGCCTTCACTCACGAGTGCAGGGTCACACTACGCCATCAGGCACCAGCCTTCACGCACGAGCGCAGGGTGACGCTACGCCATCGCACACCAGCCTTCACGCACGAGCGCAGGGTGACGCTACGCCATCGCACACCAGCCTTCACTCATGATGCTACACCATGAGACACCAGCCTTCACTCATGAGCACAGGGTGACGCTACACCATCAGACACCGGCCTTCCCTCATGAGCGCAGAGTGACGCTACAGCATCAGACACCAGCCTTCACTCATGAGCACAGGGTGACGCTACACCATCAGACACCGGCCTTCCCTCATGAGCACAGAGTGACGCTACAGCATCAGACACCAGCCTTCACTCAGGAGCACAGGGTAACGCTACACCATAGCATGCCAGCCTTCACTCATGACGCTACACCACTGGACACCAGCCTTCAATTACAAGCACAAGGTGACGCTACACCATCGCACACTAGCCTTCACTCATGAGCACAGGGTGACGCTACACCATTGCACGCCAGCCTTCACTCATGACGCTACAGCCTTCAATTACAAGCACAAGGTGATGCTACACCATCGCACACCAGCCTTCACTCAAGAGCACAGGGTGACACGAAGCCATCAGACATGGGCCTTCACTCACGAGCGCAGGGTGACACTGCACCATCACACATCAGCCTTCACTCACGAGAACAGGGTTACACTACACCATCGGACACCAGCTTTAACTCATGAGCGCAGGGTGACACTACACCATCGCACACTGGCCTTCAATGATGCTACACCATCGGACACCAGCCTTCACTTACAAGCACAAGGTGACGCTACACCATTGCACACCAGCCTTCACTCACAAGCGCAGGGTAACACTAAACCATCGGACTCCGGCCTTCATGCCTTCACTCATGAGCACAGGGTGACCCTACACAATCACACAGCAGCCTTCACTCATGAACCTACACCATCACACACCAGCCTTCACTCACGAGCACAGGGTGACACTACATCGCACACTGGCCTTCACTCACTAGCACAGGGTGATGCTACGCCATCGCATACCGGCCTTCACTCACGAGCGCAGGGTGACGCTACACCATCAGACACCAGCCTTCACTCACGAGCGCAGGGTGACGCTACGCCATCAGACACCAGCCTTCACTCACGAGCGCAGGGTGACGCTACACCATCGCACACCAGCCTTCACTCACGAGCGCAGGGTGACTGCTACACCATCACACACCGACCTTCACTCGTGAACCTACACCATCGCACACTGGCCTTCACTCACGAGCACAGAGTGACACTACACCATCGCACACTGGCCTTCACTCACGAGCACAGAGTGACGCTACACCATCGCACACCGACCTTCACTCGTGAACCTACACCATCACACACCAGCCTTCACTCACGAGCACAGGGTGACACTACACCATTAGACACCAGCCTTCACTCATGACGCTACACCATCGGACAGCAGCCTTCAATTATGAGCACAAGGTGACACTACACCATCACACACCAGCCTTCACTCATGACGCTACACCATCGCACACCAGCCTTTACTCATGAGCACAGGGTGACACTACACCATCGCACACCAGCCTTCACTCACAAGCACAGCATGACGCTACACCATCGCACACCAGCCTTCACTCATGAACCTACACCATCACACACCAGCCTTCACTCATGATGCTACACCATCAGACACCAGCCTTCACTCAGGAGCACAGGGTGACGCTACACCATCGCACACCAGCCTTCACTCATGAACCTACACCATCATACACCAGCCTTCACTCATGACGCTACACCATTGCACACCAGCCTTCACTCACGAGTGCAGGGTGATGCTACACCATTGCACACCAGCCTTCACTCACGAGCACAGCCTGTTTTCACCAACACTGTCCTTAGGTCTTGTGGGAAAACAGATCTGAGCCTCTAAAATCACTCAGCCAGGAAACACCATTCAGATTGTGTCACAAAATCAGCATATTAACAAAAATTACAATCAGGAAAAAAGGCAAGAATCAAATTGTGTTTCTAAGAATCAGAGGCTATGGAATGACAGATTATGGGGGCCCCTTGTGAATCACGAACGCACAACAGTCCAAACCCACACGGGTGGAGGTGGGGGCTGCAGCAGCTCCACGGAGAGACTCCGTCACCCAATGCACCAGTGACTCTGGGTGAGATTTTAGATTCATTTGAAGGTTGTGCTGGGTGTGTTGACTCACACCTGCAATCCCAGCACTTTAGGAAGCCAAGGTGGGAGGATCAGTTGAGCTCAGGAGTTTGAGGCCAGCCTGGGCAGCATAGGGAAACCCCATCTCTACAAAAAATTTTAAAATTGGCCAGGCATGGTGACAAGTGCCTGTGGTCCCCGCTGCTTGGGAGAATGGCTTGAGCCCAGGAGGTGGTGACTGCAGTGAGCTGAGATTGCACCGTTGCACTCCACTAAGGCACAGATGGAGACCCTCTTTCTCCAAAAATAGCTGTGGCTGTCAGTCTTGTGGAAAAGATGCCATTCACAGAACAACAGGCACAGGCTCATCTCCCCAGGGCAGCCGGGGCTGCTTTTCCCCGTGCACTTCACGTTATGTTAATTATTTAGTGATGTAACTCAGAAGGCTGACGGAAGACACCTTACTGTCTGTGGCCTCAAACAGATCTGAGGGGTTCAGAGTCCCGTTTACCGTTTAGTCTCGAAGCTGCTGCACGTCACCTTTGGATCAAGCTCATTCTAGGAAAATAACCGTCTCCGGCACACACTGGGCACAGCCAAGCCAGCCAGCAAAAAAGGTTCCCGGAGCAGCCTCTCCAGGAGGCCTGGGCCCCGGCTCCGTCTCGGGAAGCTGATGCTCCATGAGGCTCTGAAACCTGCTCACCCAGTGGCCACCAGCCTGACCTCCGAGGACGGGGGGCTCTCCCGCTCCAGAGCAGGCACGCGTCCGCCGCGAAGCGCTCCTTTCACCTGACCAGCCCTCGAGTGAGTCACAGCTAACTGCTGTGTCCTCTGCCAAGGGCTTGTGTCTGACATCTCTCGTTTGTCACCACGGTTTTTTGTTTCTTTTTTGGGGGGGCGGGGGGACTGAGTCTCACTCTTGCCCAGGCTGGAGTGTAGTGGCTCTCGGCTCACTGCAACCTCCACCTCCGTGTTCAAGTGATTCTGCTTCAGCCTCCCAAGTAGCTGGGACTATAGGTGTGAGCCACCACACGCAGCGGATTTTTCTATTTCTTAGTACAGATGGGGTTTTGCCGTGTTGGCCAGGCTGGTCTTGAACTCCTGGCTTCAGGTGATCTTTTCACCCTTAGCCTCCCAAAGTGCTGGGATTACAGGTGTGAGCTATCACACCCGGCCACCGTTCTCTTCTCTTTGCTGAGGCCCTGGCTGCTGAAATACCCCCCACCCCCACCATGCTGCATCCCGAGGGGCCCCAAGCCTCCATTCCCTCTCAGGGAGCTGAGCAGCATCCTGGGCCTGAGCCTGTCCTCGCCTCTTGGCCTCAGAAGTCCTGTTGGGTGCGGCTCCCATGTCACCCTCATCAGGGCCTGAGTCTCTACCACCCCCGCGAGCTACAGGACCCAGGAGGGAAGCTGGGCCTCGGGAAGCTGCCATTCCAGCAGCACAGAGAACAGATGAGGACGGGCTGTAGGACCAGGAGCAGCGTCCACGGGGAGAGGAAAGCCCTGGGAGGCCAGGCACGCAGGACAGAGCCGGAGGCTCACTGACACTGGTGCCCGTCCTGTCACCCTCGTGTGGTCAGAGCAGCCCTGGGCTGCAGGTAAGGCGGGGCCCCCTGGGGAAGGGACGGAGCCACGTGTGCCCCGTGAGCACCCGCACTCACTCACCTGCATGAACGTGTGACACTCCATCACGAAACTCCCTTTGGTAATCTGCTTAAACTTATCACAAATGTCTGGAATGCTGGTGGCTTCCAAAATAAACTCCTGGTGTTGCTTAATTAAGGTCAGGGCCACCCGGAAGATAATCTTCGAGCCTTCGTTGAACAGGACAGTCCCAGATCCGAAGCACTGTCTGCAGAGACACAGAAGCCGCGTCACTCCCTGGCGGCTTGCCTGCCCGCCCCGGGCCCCGAGCGAGGCGCTCACCTCCACAGGCAGGACATCCACAAACAGGCAGATGAACCAGCGGGACACCACCAGCGTCCACAGCACGCCGAGCTGCTCCATCAGGGCCCCCACGGCCGGCAGCTTTGCCCGAACCAGCTCTCCCAGCACCTCCTGGTCGGTCTTCAGGCCCAGCATGGCCGGGGTGTAGTAATCTTGCAGGCAGCGGGAGAAGAGACCCTGAGACACTCCCCTCACCTCCACAAGCCCCATTCCTCTTGCAGCCAAAGAAAACAGGGCCACCCCACGGGGACCCCTCTCAGGAGGGAAGGAGAAGTGTGAGAGGAAGAGTCGGGCTGAAGCCTGCAGACACAGGGCTCGTGGGGAGCGACCCCCACAGCCAGGCCTTTTAGGACATCCCTGGGGCTGGAGGGCTGGGCTGGGGGCCGCCTGGCTGGGTGTCAGTTAAAATCTACAGGTCGAGGGCCAGGCTTAGCCCTGTTAATCCCAGCACTGTGGGAGGCTGAGGCAGGCAGATCACCTCAAGTCAGGAGTTCAAGACCAGTCTGGCTGATAATGGAGAAACCTCGTCTCTACTAAAAATACAAAAATTAGCTGAGTGTGGTGGCAGGCGCCTGTAATCCCAGCTATTCGGGAGGCTGAGGCAGGAGAACTGTTTGAACGCGGGAGGTGGAGGCTACAGTGAGCCGAGATCACGACGCCGCACTCCAGCCTGCGAGACAGAGAGCAAGACTCCGTCTCAAAATAATAAATAAATAAATAAAAATCTGCAGATGGCAAACAGGGTCCCAAGGCGATGAAGGCATGCCATGCTCCTAGCAGAACTAGTCACAACAGCCAAGAGATGGAGGAAACCCACGTGCCCGTCAGCAGATGAGTGGATAAGCGAAACGTGAATGGCCACGCTGAATGAGTATCATTCAGCCTTAGAAGGGGAGGGAGTCAGCCACAGGCCACGGCAGCGGGGGAGGGAAGGAGTGACGGGGACCAGGACTCTGTCTGGGGAGATGCAACAGCCCTGGAGGGCGGTGGCGATGGTCACACCATGAGGTGAGCGGCCCTGCTGCCGCTGCGCTGGAAACCCGGGTAAGATGGCACATTCCACGTTCTGTGCATTTTACCACAACAAAAAGAAAACTCAGACAAATGCTTCCAACAGCGTGTCCTCCTTTCGAACGGACATTTGTCTCACCAAAGCACTTGTGTGTTTCCCAGGGCGTTTTTTAGCTTGCTTATGTAATGAGTTACAGTAAACTTTAGTGCTTGCATTTGCACCGGGAAAGAGTTCAGTATGTGACCCGCGTGATCGCGCCCCGCCCTGCAGGTGCACAGCCTCGGCTGACGCCCACGCAACTTGGCCTCTTGCCATGCGGGGCTGAGCTGTTCTTGCTATTTTATTATTTTTTTAGACAGAGTCTCGCTCTGTCACCCAGGCTGCAGTGCAGTGGCACAATATCAGCTCATTGCAACCTCTGCCTCATGGGTTCAAATTATTCTCCTGCCTGAGCCTCCCTAGTAGCTGGGATTACAGGCACCCGCCGCCACACCTGGCTAATTCTTGCATTTTTAGTAGAGACAGGGTTTCACCATGTTGGCCAGGCTGGTCACAAACTCCTGACCTCAGGTGATCCGCCTGCCTCGGCCTCCCAAAGTGCTGGGATTACAGGCGTAAGCCACCGTGCCCAGCCTGTTTTTGTTAATTGAATGTCTTGGTTAAAATAGAACCATCACAAACACTGACGCAACAGCACGGTCCTGTCACTGCTTTTCAGAGTGAGCACACGGTGGAGTCGGTTTAACAGTAAATGCTAATGCCTCTGAAGGTGGTTTAGCCAGAGCCAGCTCAGTGAGCAAATGCCAGGGATTAAATCCTCCCTTCCAGATCCCTGTTTTGCATCTGCCTCCGGGGCTCCGAGCGCTTTGCTCTTCTTTTACCTTCTTAGCTGAGTACATCCTGGTCCAGCTGGGGGGAAGAGGACTGAAGAACCCGCAGCACCCAGCCTGGTTCTGCAGGTGACCCCAATCCCACAGGTGGCATGGCAGGGGGCCCTGAGCGCCAGGCAGCAGGGGGTCTGCAGAGAAGCATAGCCTGACCTTGGCCCCAGATTCAGAGAAGCTTAGAGCAGCTTCCAAAAATAGAGGCGCTAAACTCATTCCCTGAACTCCACGGGGCTGAGCCGGCCACCAAGGGGAGGATTACATTAAAGCTGCAGCTGCTTTCCTTTCCTTGAACATGAGGGCACAGCGGCCACTCCCTTCAGAAAGGGCTCATCCCTCCAGGCTGAAATGCAGGCACTCATGTTCCCAGGAGTGACCACCTCCCTAAGGTTCCTTGTCCCTGTCCTGGGGACATCCACACCTCTGCAAACAACCCAACACTGCACTCGTCACCAAGGATCCTGGGATGGCGCCTCCCGGACGAGGACAGGTGGGGGTGCAGCTCTGACATTCCCCTGCGGTCAGATGTGGGCAGGGGCCACGCAGACGGGGACCACGAGCATCTCCATGTGGCTGCAGCTTCCTCGTCTCTATTTCATTACCACTCCCAGATCTTCCTCCGTGAGCACGTGTGAGTCCAAGACCACACTCTCACACGCACTCACGAGCCGGTTCTCCACCCGGGTGCTTCCAATTAGAAAATAAAAAGTATGAGGTGAAGACTCAAAAAACTTTTTTTTTTTTTTTGAGAAAAAGTCTCTATCTGTCAGCCAGGCTGGAGTGCAATGCTGCTATCACAGCTGACTGCAGCCTTGACCTCCTGGGCTCAAATGATCCTCCCGCCTCAGCCTCCTGAGTAGCTGGGACCACGGACGTGCACCATCACACCCAGCTAATTTTTTGTTTTATGTAGAGACAAGGTTTTACCATGTTGTCCAGGGTGGTCTGAAACTCCTGGGCTGCCAAAACATTAAATGGTTTGCACAGACTTCTATGAAGGGAGCTTCCATTCCCAGGGGTATCTCCCTCTCTCTGCCAGTAAAGACACTCCTGAAATCTGCATCTCAAACCTTACAAAGTGACCAGGTGCAGTGGCTCACGCCTGGAATCCCAACACTTTGGGAGGCTGAGGCAGGTGGATCACCTGAGGTCAGGAGTTTGAGACCAACCTGACCAACATGGTGAAACCCCATCTCCACTAAAAGTAGAAAAATTAGTTGGGCATGGTGGTACAGGCCTGGAATCCCAGCTACTCAGGAGGCTGAGGCAGGAGAACTGCTTGAGCCTGGGAGGTGGAGGTTGCAGTTTGCTAAGATAGCACCATCGCCCTCCAGCCTGGGTGACAAGAGTAAGACTCCATTTTAAAAACAAAAACCTTACAAAGCAGCCTTGTGGACTTAATGTCCCTGATTTCCTTCCCAGAAGCCTGAAAGTAATAGGTGCCCAGGATGGTGGACGTGCCCAGGCTCCAAACCACGCTTTTCCCAGGTTTGTTACGACGCACGTGCTGATAAATGTCTGTTTCTCGCTCATTATTCAGTCTTTCAGCCAGCCTAGGTACAGAGCCCAGCTGGGGGACCTGAGGCGTACATGGTAAGAGATTTCTTTTGTGCACACGCACCACACACGTGGCCACACACACACCACACAGGCACACGTACACAGACACAGGCACACACATACCACACAGGCAAATGCACACGTACACACACAGACACACACATGTACATGCACACCACACACAGGCACACACACTGCACATGCACACCTGCATCCCCTGGACAGTGTGAGGCAGAGCTTTTAAACACCACACATGGGCACAACGTACAATCACACATGGGCGCACAAATGCACCACATGGGCGAACACAACACCTGCCCTTGATCCCACTGGACTGTGAAGTGAAGCTGTACATGCGCATCACACACGAGCACCTGCGCATATCACCACAGCACACACACAGGCACCTATCGTGCACACGCACACCACACGGGCACACACACGCACACACACACCGTGCCCTCGATCCACTTAACGGTGTGAGGTGGACCTGTACATGCACACCAACACATGGGCACACAATGGGCAACATATGTGCACACGCACACCACACATGGACAACACGCACACACACACCTGCCTCGATCCCCTTAACGGTGTGAGGTTGGAGGCGTACATGCACACCCGCACACAGGCACACATGTGCACACACACCACACACGGGCACACGTGTGCACACACCACACAGGCACACATTTGCACACACACACACCCACACGCGGGCACACATGTGCACACACAGGCACGCACACCTGCCTCGTTCCCCAGACTGTGTGAGCTGGAGCTGTACACGCAGTGCCCATCACACCAAATGCTCCAGCCAGGGTGTGCTTCCCCAAAACAATGGCCTGGCCACCCAGACCCGAGTCAGCACCACCTCCTAGTTCCCAGACACCTTCTGAAGGTGTCCAGGGACTCCGCGAGTACAGTTTCCACAAACACGCCCCAAGGAATCCACACAAGAACAAGCTTAGGGAGCCACACTGACAAAAGGCCCAGTGACCCACATGACACCAGAGGTTCCTGGAGAAACAGGCTGGCCCAGGTCTGGGGCAGAAGGCTCAGAGGATGAGCCCGGAGCAGCCCGTCCTGCAGACGCGAGGAAGCGGCTAGCACCACAGTCACATGCACAGGACTCAGGAGCCAACCACGAGAGGCTCCCGCGGGCCACAAATGGGCCAATCTGAGCTTCAAGGACAAAAACCCTCCCATGGGTGCAGCCCCGGAGTCCACAATTACACGGACACACACCATCACCCGACCCCCTTCAATGACCAGACGCCAATTGATGATCTTGAGGGTGGGGCTGTAAAGCCAAGAGATCCAGCATTTGTCCAGCCTCCTCTAAAAACTCATAACCTCAGGTGACCTGCCCGCCTCAGCCCCCCAAAAGTGCTGGGATTCAAGGCCTGAATCCCAGCCTATCCTGCCCCCTCGAACGGACTCAGATCTCGGGTCTTGCCACCAGTCTATAGGAAATTCCAAGGAGAGGGGCTCAGCTAGAGGCTGCTGGGGTGTTCGCATCAGGAAAGCCTGCAGCCCACGTGCTTGGACGGGAAGAGAAAGAGGTGCAGATTCCCACGCACAGACCGACGGGCCCCAAGGCTCCTCAGGTGTAACCCGGAGTGACACTAAGACACACAGCCCAGGTGCTCACGTGCATGGCAAACCTCAGAGAGCCGCACAGAGTGGTGTG